ATACCCTCCTATAAGCAGCTACCATTGGTATGTCTGCATACCAAATTTCAAGTTCGTGTGACTTATGGTTCCGAAGTTATAGCTGATAAAAAATTCCACGCCTATGGGATGTGCACGCCCCCTTCTACAAACTCATTTATATATACCCAGTTATAAGCACATACCATTTATATGTCTGTATACCACATTTCAAGGTCATGTGACTTATGGTTCCGAAGTTATGGCTGATTAAAAATTTCACGCCTATGGGGGGTGCCACGCCCCCTTGTAGGAACCAAATTTTTTCACCCTATTATAGGCCCAGGAGTCATGGCAATACTCTGTCAAAATTTTGTTCGATTCTGTCCGTCCGTTTAGGCTGCAACGTGGCACATACATACATACTTCCACAAATATATAGGAGATTTGTTAGGGAATGAACTGCATTTTAATTCATTGAAAAACCTTAAAAATTAATAAATAAACATAAGTGGCAAACAATGTCATTTTAAATTTGGTACAAAATGTTATGTCCAACTTTGACTTTTTAAACAATTTAATTCTTGTAAAAATGACATACCATTGCACTAAATATTTTTCTATAAAGTTTTTCTTTACTTGTTTATGTGTTTAAATAATGCTACGATTTTGGTTTTAAACTATGCATACTTCATTAAATGTTGTTATTCAAGTATTTATGTAAGTTAAGAAGAAGATGTCCTCAGATTAACGAAGGCATTCATATACTTTTAGCTTTGCCATACATAACTGCGTCCATTGAGAGGTCATTCAGCACATTTCGGCGTGTCAAAACTTGGCTACTATCAACAATGCAAGAAGACCGCTTTAATGGATTATGCTTGCTCAGCGTTCACCGCAAACTGATTGAGCAAATGGGAGATGAAATTACAGAAAACGTTTTAAAGAGATATAAGAAAACTTATGCATAGTATTTTAATTGAATATTTCTATTATACACTAACTTAAACATATATGTAATACTTCTATATTGGCAGTAAGCTAACTTCTCAATGTGTAAGCATTCCGAAATCAAAGCGAGACAGTCTAGTACGGTTGTTGTCAATGTATTGTGTACTTGAGTGCCGTTTTTGTATATGTGTCATCCCACATAGCATTTGGAAGATTACTTTAATAAAAATCACCTTTATCAGTCTTCTTCGATCACTTGTGATGATTAAAAACTGATTAATCGCTTCCGCGATTAAAAAAAGACTCGAAAATTACTCACGCTTACGCTTGAAAAATGATTTATTGAAAATATATTTAAAAAAATGGGCAATCACAAATTGATCATTCTGGGGATTGAAATGTGCTTTTTCTTTGCTTGTTTAAACAAACATTTGTTTCAGCTGCCTTTGCTTCTAACAGCATAATTTTTTAAGCCTATGTCAAATTTTAAAAATATCAGTGAAGTCGTGGTGTGAAGTGCGTGGTGTAAAAAATTGCAGTGCCTACATAAGTAAGAACATTTAATAAAAAAAATATTAATAATGTCAGCTAAACAATTAAAAAGATTGGCTAAAAAAGAAGCCGAAAAACTAATGTCCCCAAAAAATAAAAGAGTTAATTCAGAGGAAAATGTGCAGGAGCAAATAGAACCAATCCAACCAAGCATTGAAAGTAGTTTCCATCATGTAAATTTAAGCGATATAATTGATATCTGTTCATCTGATACTGAAAGTGATTCAAACGAATTTGATTTGTGCGAAGAACTGGCTAAATGGGCTACCCAATTTTATTGTTGTTGCGAAAATGCAATATTAAAGTCCCAAAGGATGGCAGGACCATTTTAAAAACGCCTTGTTCTGTGATTGAGAGAAAAGTTGGGGAAGGCACGTATGTTCACTACGGACTAAAAAACGGTTTAACTGATTTCTTGGTGGGAAATGATTGGAGATTACCGAATTTAATATTAGATTTCGATATTGATGGCCTGCCACTGTTTAAAAGCAGCTCAAAATAAGTTTGGCCAATACTAGCCAGTGTTGTGGGAACTAGTTATGTGTTTCTTGTTGGCGTATATGAAAGTACTTCAAAGCCAAAATGCGCAAACGATTTTTTACAAGAATTTATTTCAGAACTGAATGTTCTTATGCAAGAGGGGCTAGTTTTTACAAATAACGTTTTCCATATTATCGTGCGCTGTTTTGTAATGGATGCACCTGCAAAATCCTTTATATTGGGAACTAAGGGGCATAGTGGATACTTTTCTTGTGGACGGTGTACACAAAAAGGGCAAATGGTTAACCATCGGCTTATTTTTCCACCAGGATGCGAGTATATGGTTAGAAGCAATGATTCCTTCAGAAATCGCCTTCAGCCGGAACATCATTTAAAACAGTCTACTTCACCATTAGAAATGCTAAACATAAATATTGTATCACAGTGGTCCTTAGATTATATGCACGTTGTTTGTTTAGGCGTAATGCGAACTTTATTAAATGCATGGGTTAAAAAAAAGGTGAAGATTTCTCTTTAGTTTCCTGGAAAATTGAATCAATTTCAAGAGAGTTAAATTTTAATAGAACTAACATAACGAGAGAGTTTAAAAAAAGCCTCGAAGCTTGAAAGATCTTGATAGATGAAAGACAACAGAACTAAGACAATTCTTACTTTATACGGGGCCTTTTATACTGAAAAAAATTTTAAGTACAGAAAGATATACTCACTTTTTAAAATTATCTTTGGCCTTGAGGATACTTTTGGATAAAAATGACTGCAAGAGTAACAACTCCTGTGCTGAAAAGCTTTTAAAATCATTTGTGAACGAGATTCCAACATTATATGGTTTGTGCTTTCTTACATATAATTTTCACGCCTTGTTGCATATTCATGAAGATGCTAAACTTCATGGATCTTTAGATGGAGTAAGCGCCTTCAAATTTGAGAACCATCTACAAAAAATTAAACGCAAAGTTAGGAAGGGAGGAAGTGTTGCCGCACAAATTTATAAGAGGCAAGTTGAAATCAGCTATCTTATAAAAAAGGAAGAAGAACATAAACCGCCTACATCTTTTCGGAAAATTAAAAGCGGAAAAATTTTAAGTCTAAATACGAATGATTTCTTCTTTTCTCTACGCGGCCCTGACAACTTTTACCTGGTTCAGGATAAAATTGTTAAGATAATAGAAATAAAA